ACAGGCATGGATTAGACGTCAACACTCAATCTGATGGAGGGAGCTGACGGATTGTAGACAGGCACGGGAACTGATAAACGGCCCAGTGATGCCTGCGGCATTGAATCAGAGACCTCTTTGCACTACTTAGGCCAATGCTTGGCTCTGAGTAGTCTAAGGGAAAGAATTCTTGGAGACCCCTTTGTGGATCCTGAGAAGCTTAGAACACTGAGGGTTTCTAACCTGGTGTCCTTCATCCGAGGGACAAAAAGGTTTGATTAAAGCCCAGTTTCTTTTGGGGAGAGCAATGGGCCACTTATGAGGCCCCCGCTCACCTGGGTTGTACCCATCCCCAATTACCAATTCCAATACCAAAATGCTAAAACGGAACTATGCTAAAATGGAAGTAATGTTAAAATTGAAGTATGCAAAAACGGAAGTAATGTTAAAACAGAAGTATGCTAAAACGGAAGTTATTATGCTAAGGCAGAATTTTTAATACAGGAATTCTACTAGGGAATTCAAAATTTTACAGTACTCAGACTAATTTAATACTTGAAACAGACTCGTTTGCTTGAAAGAATGAATTTTTTTCAATTTTTTATTTGAGCACTGATCCAGTCCACCTACATACCAGTAGATGGCAGTATTGCGCTACATTGTTATTTGCCAACCATCAAAAAAGAAAAGATCACAGTTGAGGAAAGTCTTGAATGGAAAAGTAAGTAAAATCTCTAATTTCTATATTAAAAATTCTGCTTTAGCATGATAACTTCTGTTTTAGCATAACTTCCATTGTGGCTTTTGCTGTTGTGTTTTTGGCTTTTGCATTTTGTTGATCCTTCTGGGCCACCGTAGGCATTTCAACTGTGTTTATTCCAAGCAGCTCTGTCCTTTGCCTGAGTCCTCTTACCCCACTGCTGTGTGTGTTCCCCTCCCAGCAGTRGGGATGAGGCTTACCTGAGGGCACAGACGCAGGATTGAAGGGAGCAAACAGCTCCGTGGGGGGCTGCAGGCCCTGCGAGGGGTCCAGGGTGTTGGCAGGAGAGACGGGGGTCTGTGTTGGTTACAGGTTAGGTCAGAAAACAACAATACAATCTTAGAAAGTAGAACCGTGAAGATCCACTCACTGATGGAGAGGTTATGTCAGGAGGTGTGGACATATCTCCGAAAATCTCTAATTGGCTGATATTCTGAGGATCAGAAGAGAGAAAGAGGAGTCAGGAGCCATGGCTGTCTGCAGAAACAGGTCAAGTGTTCTACATCCCACTGCAACATGCATCACACACACATGCAACACCAGACCAGCAGACCAGCAGGGCAGATTAATGGACCCACCTACAGCCTGCTGCAGCAGAGAGGACAGCAGGGAGCACACAGGGACCATGACATGGAATGGTTATGATGACATACTCACCAAGACTTTTCATCATTTTCCTCATCTGCTTTAAAACATGTCAACCAGCTCAGAAAATAAAAAATCAGTAGGTCCTCTGGATGGTTCTGCTTTAGTGAAATGTTTCGTCTCTCCTCCAAGAGACTTCTTCAGTCTGATGAGTTTCAGGTGAGCTCAGCCTTATAAGCTCCGCCTCCACATAGACAAACAGGTTAGTCACATGCAAAAGAGGACCATCAACTAACAATAGGCTTGATTACTTCTATTGTTCATAGAGGGTCATGTGTCCCATCATCTGACCCGTGTCATGTTGTGTGTATGTAGTGAGTGTAAGCGGGGCTCAAAGTCCCCTTGTTTTTGTTTTTTCCCTCTTCATGTTGGTATCATTGGAGCCCTGATTCACACCTTTTGCTCACAGGGGGCGGAGT